TGGATATTGTAACTTCAATTTAACACGAGAATGGCGAAAATGAAAAGTTCAGAAAATTGTTTGGAACACTATTTTGGGACTTGATTGATTTCCAGTATGTTGGCTTTTTTTTTTGGTGATTTAATTTTGTGAATGCTTTGACTAGAGTACTATATATATAATAATATAAACACAAAAGAACTGTGAATTGTACGAATCTGATATGTGAAGAGAGTGATATGAAATAAATTTAGGACACTTGTTACGGTGTTGGGTACGACGTGACAATTGGATTTTTCCGCTCCATACTTCAGTAATAGGAGCATATTAAATGAAATAAATATTTTGTATTCATGGATTACACAAGTATAATAAATAAATTTCTTTTTTTCTTTTGTGCCTCTCTCTTTAGGAGCCAAGAACTCTACGCCGGTGATTTACATGATCATCACCATGGCTTACAGGCCCAAGATTAGGAGCCTAGGCCCCAGCTAGTGAATGCTCAAGTGACTTGTAAAAATCAAGTCCGCATTTACTATGTCAATCAACAACTTCAATCAGCGCCTAGGCGATCCTAGTCTCACATGATGGAGGTACGTACGTACGTACACATACTTAATTTGTATTATAATGTCATGCATAAAATTTTCATTCCTCTAATTAGTCTATTAATAAAATTATAAATGAAATTTCTCCTCACATTCATTGTACTTTGTGTGTCAAATTTCAATAACAGATTACAGGAATATTTGCCAAAACCCAAGAGCACCATCCAACTACCAAAGGGTTTTCTTTGGGATTCGGCAGAGACACATATATGAAAGGTCAATTCAAATTGGGACAGGACCAAATGTTCGAGAAATTATAATAACTGTAAATTAAATTCTAACACTCTAGCCATGTCAAATTAATTACATGTGGAAGCAATGGGGAGGAAATTAGCTAGATCTACCCTCAACATTAATTTGCTCGAACAAATACCCATTCAGTTTCACACCAAAACAAAGATAGAATAGGATGTCGTATTTGTTTTCCTTTCATCTATGAATTTGAAAGAATTACTTGATTAGCCGGAACAAAACACTAAAAGTTTAAAGTTGATCTCAATCGCAGAAATTAGAGACAAAAAAGTTTAATTAGTACCAAACCGCTAATTAAACCGAAACTGCAGTCCACCGTATTAAGAACTACCTTGACAGGGTTCAATTTCGGTGCCATGAGTCTTCTAGAACTGGAGTTCCGACGACTTTGGGCTGAAACCATCGAGAACCCTGCCCAACTCCATTTCCATTTAGACTACTCAATTATCATGTTTCGAGTTTGAATTAGTTGTAGCAACGAATTTAAATAGGCAATAATTTTTTTTTTTTAAAAAAAAACTGTTATCTTGTTTGGATTCTTGATTTTCAGTAAAATTTATGTTAAAAAAATTAAAAATTCAAACAAGAAAATTATTTTCGGACAGATGAAACATAATGTTTCACTATACCGATCTATCATTTTCCTTTTATCTTATTTCTACTATACTTGAAACAATAAAATGGCACCATATTTTATGAATAAATGTCAAAAATCTTATTAAGATTATCTATGTGGGCTTTACAAGGTGTTAGTGATAATAATATTGAGCTCCAACCGACGTAGTGATTAGTAAATTCTACTTATGGATCAACTGCCATTTTCTTCCATAATAGTACCGGGTAAATTGGGCTTTGTTTCTACAGGTACTAGTACGAAGAACTTTTTATTCTAATTAATCGTCCAATTCACTCTCAAGTCTCAAGTCTCACTGGCCTACAAATTATAAAGAGCCTTCCTGATTGAACTGAAGAAATTCATTCATCTTCCATGGTGTGTTTCAATGTCACCTTTTTTATTTTTCTTGAGTGAAGAGCAAATTTTGGAATTTTCGACTCATTTTCACTCTTTGAAACACCCATAGTTTGACAAAGTGCATAGTCACACTATTGACAGCGGTTGAGACCTTGATATGTAAATTTCTTAAAACAGAATAAAAGAATTCATTTGTACCAAAAAAATGGTTATTTATTTCTTCTATGTTTCTTTTTGTAAAGAAAACTCTACTATCAAATCTTATTGTCAACACCTTGTTGAAAAGGTGCCATTAAACATGTTTTTTTTTCTTTTTATAGCAAATGATGGTCTAATTGAATGGTTATAGCCTTAATACCCTCTTGACGAGATCAAGGTTCGAGTCTTTGTATCTGACCCAATTAAATTTACTACATCCGTCTAATTAATCTTAAAACTTAATGTGAATTTATTTTTTTTAAAACGAGAGTAATATCATTTTAAGATATAATTAAAGAGTGTCACATCTCGTTAATGTTAGTCAATTATATATCATATGTGAGCGTGATCGTTTCCGGTTGATTCCCAGAGTAAAGAAATAAAAAAAAAAAAAAAAAAAAGAGAAGAAATTATTAGTGTTATTATTATAGGGGAAAAAGACAAGGAGATGCATATTTGAAGTGGAAAAGAGGAAAGAAATCAGATGGGGATTACTTTTTGAAGTTCGTACAAATGTTTAGTACAGAGCCAAGAAAAAGGTGAAGCAGAGGGGATTAGGCCAATCATGGGCTCTGACTGATTTACAGTGCCAACTTGGACATAATATAGCTGTACATCATTGACAAAATCTCCATTTTTATGGCACATTATTTATTATATTTATGATGCATTTATGATTTATGATGATGACGACAAATTAGGGAAGCATGCGGTAGCACCACCGCCGGATTCGTCATCCTACCAAGACCTAAAGCTATATGTAGCTATCTAGCTGGCACCCTCGGAAATTGTTTAGGATATAATTTATTATTTTTTTATACCACACTTTTTATTTCCTTCTGAGTGTATATCCATCCTTTATATTTTTTTCCCCCTAAAGTTTTTTTGCCTAATATTTGACACAACCCAAAAATGGTCTGACCCTGCGTCTTTTCCCCACGTAACGAATGTCCTTGTCAATTTTTAATTTTCTCTTTTTTTTTAAAATTTTTAATTATGTGCTAGATTAGTCTCTTTTATTTCGGAGCCAAAAAAATATGAATATCCGGTGTAATAAATTTAAATGCTTCATTTCCCAGTTGTACAATCTCACCGTCTAGTATAGATTTTTTTTTCTCTTTCAGTAACAATTGTACTTATAATGAAAATTTTAACAGGGTAATTATTTTGCGATAGTAAGGATAAACATAATTGAATTCTAATTTTTTTTTAAAAAAAAAAGAGAGAAAGGCCAAGCAAACGTTAAACATATTTCTTCCAACTGAGTGTAGATTGATATTCGCTCCATTCCAAAATAAGCGTCGTCCTACACTTTGCACATAGTTTAAGAAACTCTTAAATATGGTAATAAAATTACTTGAATAACCTCAACCAACCCTATTAAAAAAATGTCTGCCAATAGTATTAATTCTTTTAGGGGTAATTTTGAAAATTTTGGACAAAAAGTGCATTGAAATGTGAGAACACTTTTTTTTTCATTTTGTTAAAACGACACTTATTTTGAAACGGAGAGAGTATTTTCTAGATAGTTGTAAAAACAATATTGAGATTTGCAATGGATTTACAAGTCCAATGAACCCTGTTCTCTCTTTTTCTTCTTCTTCTTCCTTTCTTTTTTTTTTTTTGGTTGGTTCAATGAATTATGTACCCTTCAAAATTAAAGAATTTGCGTGCCGTTATGTTTATATACTGAGGAAATTTTAAGGGGGGGATATATATAATGTTTCTGATTAAGCTGAAGGTTCATTGCAATAAATGAAATCCGTGTAAATTAATTTGATTTGAGCTGGCAAGGAATGTTATAATTAGTAAAAATTAAAAACAGTGAGTAACATTTAATTTGACTGCCATGTGCTAGTTGGCATGCAATATTGCTGCAATTTGTGTAGTAATGGTCAAATGTTTAACTGATGAATTCATGTAAATGCATCCAACTTAGTAAGTACAACTCAGAAAAGAAATAAGAAGAGTATAAGATAGTAACAGTGAAGATTGATTAGAATAAATAAAGGAAAATTCAAGGATGAATTGCATCAAATTAATTTATGTTGTGAGTAGAAGTCAAAAGGAAGTCATCAACATTTTTATTATACCCATTATTAACAATTCAACAAAATTTGACTCACTTTTTGTTCACATAAAGTTGTATGGGCATTAGTAGTTAATTTGCATTTGATTAATAAGTAACATTTGGGAGAGATACATCTGATAGATTGGTGAACAAGGTAATATTCATAATGTAACCTAACTTACACTGATGGAGCTGGTCAACATTGTTGTTAAATTCCAGTTATTTACTGAAACTCCGATTCTACACAATACATATTCCTCCTCATCTGTACAGTGCCAAGTATTTATACTACATGATAAGAGTGAACAACACAATCGGTCTAAAAATTAGCCTTTTGTAATTTAACTTTTCGAATTTGAATGAATAGTTAGTTTGTAAAAAGGTATAATTTTTATATCCCACAATTGTACCTACACATTAGAGATAGGTTCCATTGAAATGTTCTTTCATAGGATTTACTAAAAGACATATGATTCATGTGCTGAGTGGGATGATTGTAACGTGTGTATTATGAACTCAAGCCATTCGGTGAACCATTTATATAACGTGTGTAAATTTTTATGACTACACTATAACGTGTGTGTGTGTGAGTTATATATTTTAACATGTGTATCGACTGAACCATTTAGTAGATGGCGATGTACAAAAATTTCTGATGTTTTTGTCCATCCAGGATTATTCATACGATGATACTTGTCACATGTTTTAGTTCCACTGTAAACACATTCCTGAAATCTTATGGCTTTCAACTCAAATAAAATAATCAGGCACGATCGATCTGAAAATGTTTAAAACAAATCTTTTACAACAGAAACTACTTTGATATACATGAAAGAACTTTTTGAATCTGCCATATTGTACAACAATCGCTCCAAAGAGGCTACTACTACTTAACATCACTGCCCATGATCATCATGACTTGCAATTTACGTTTCAAATTCAAACCCAACTCCCCCAAAACATGCCCCAATTTTGAAACCTCTAATTAAATGGATCAGATCAAGAATTACCCGAAGAAAAATAATTAAATCATGAATTATCTTTTTTTTTAATCCTTCCCCTTCCTTACTGTCAAAATATGGTATATCCTCTTTTTAACATAAAAAAGGACAGCAGTAAAATAGTAATGCATGTATAATTGTATATATCCATAAGCCGAAGAATAAGCTTATGTATGAACAGATCTAACCGCTGCCACCGCCACCCCACTTCCTCCACCAAACATACAAGAATTCCTACTCAGATTACAGTACTGATGATACATATTCCCACCCCCGGCGCCGCCGCCGCCGCCGTTGCCCACCACCGCCACTCCATTTCCAAGATTGGTCGTCGCCATTATCGATTCTTCCCCTCCTACAACCACCGTTTGATCATAACCTCCTCCCTCTTCTCCGCCAACAACCCTCCCAACCCCGCCGTCCTCCTCCTCCTCATCGGCGGCGACGACGTCTTCTCCGTCGTCTTTGATGGGGATTAGACGGAGAGTGAGGCGGCCATCAGAACGGTCTGCCCGGAAATAATCCTGCCTCTGGACTTTCTCCTCCACGATGACCAATCTCCCGTCATCGGTGTAATACCGTTTCATGAAACAAGGCAGGTTTTCAGTACGGGCCAACCAGGGAATCGGCGGCGGAAACTCCTTCTCCATTTTTTCCGGCCACCGTTCGCCGCCGCCGCTCCTCTCCCCAGCAGTAGTAACACCACCACTTATACCACCACCAGAAGAAACCCCACCTAAATCTACATTACTAATCAAATCAACACCGCTTTCAATCCCAATACAATCGCTCAAGTCCAGAGCAATACTCTCAAACGAGTATCTTGATGTTGACTCAGGCATTACAAAATTCACCCAAAAAAAAAAAAACAAATTTATGGGTTTTGTTGGAAAATGAAAAAGGAATTCTGGGTCGGATTTTGTTTTTGTTGATTATGGGTTTGGATTGTTTTGATTGAAGAGAGGCATGCATGAATGGGGGGTATAAATAAGGTCGAGAATAGGGGTTATCGAAAAGAGAGGAAGTAGTATTGAAGAGAGGGAAAAGGATTGGCAGTGACAGCTAATATTTCACCCTGAATAATAAACTTTAAAAATAAATAATAATAATAATCTGATATATTTCCGCGGTTATTTTTTTTTTTACATTTATCTACTCTTAATTAGCAGCATGAGATAACTTCAGATAAATTGGATTACATTGTGTATGCAATAAATAACGTGTTATTATTTATTTATTTAACCAATACTTACGACCTAATCAATCGTTATTTGTTGTAATATAATACCCTTTTCATTTCAAAAATATAAAAATTTTATCTTACGAAAGCAATACCACATATTATTTTTGGAAGTAAAATTTTCAATTATTAAAAAAGAAAATAGGGCAGGGTAAGTGGATGAGCACTAAAGAGTTAATAAATTGAAGTAAATCTAATTTATCGTATGACGTTTTGGTGAAAATTTTATTCTTTCATATTCGCTCCTGCATGTGGATAATTGGATATCATACTTTGACTACAAATTGTCTTCTATTCTTTCATAAGCCTAATGTGATTTTCCTTTATTTTATCTCTATCCTTATTTTCCGTACGACATGTTCCATATATCAATTAAATAAATTAGGATTTATTTGCCAACAACCCGCAAGTTTTATTGTCATCGTATTATGTAATAATAATAGTATATATAGCCTTTTTATTGTATAATTCTGTTTTAGTTTAATAAAATTAATTAATATTTTTCTAGAATTGAGAGAATACCAAATACCAGGCGTCTAAATTCTGTCCCTTTTGATGATACGTATAGAGGAAGAAGATTTCCTCGTATTAATTCCCCCAAATACATGATATGGATAAAAAGAATTTTCCTTATAAGCTTGGACCGTTTTCCTTTGTTTGTTTGTTTTTGATTTTTACACAAATTACTGACCAGTGTATGCAGGTGAACGATTCCCACGATGTATTTTTATTTTTATTTTTATTTTTTACTGCATGAAGGAGGCCAAACAACGACGTCCAGTTACACCACGTCTCTAATGTATAAGTGTGATGACGAAATTACACCGTCTCATATTAATTTTTTTTACTCTCCTATCATATTAAAAAAATAGTAGACATTAAATTTTGAGATTCTTATATATTTGATCAATGTCTCGATTATATATTATTTCCGTCATAAAAGATAGTCCACATCTTGAGATTACAAATCTCAAAACTCGATGCAAACTATTTTTATAGGAAAAGAATAGTATATAATTTTAAGCGAGATATTGACAAAATATGCAACCCGTGCATGAGGCAAGTGAAATCAAATTTTGCTAACGAGCTCGGTTTACTTGGTGACGAGTTAGACCGAACTCTAATTAATAATCTTGATTCTGTACATATTTTAAACTTGATGTGAACTATTTTTCAGGACAAAAATAATATATAATCCTAACCAAGACATTGATAAAACATGCAACTCATTTAGACGGGTGAAATCAAATTTTGCTAACGAGCTCTGTTTACTTGGTGACGAATTAGACTAATTTTCAGTGAACAATCTTGATTCAGTATAAATTTCAAAATTTAATGTGGACTTTTTTTTTTTTTTTTGTACAGAGGTATTATATAATTGTAATTGAGACATTGACAAAACATGCAACCAATGCACGTAGTGAAATCAAATTTTGTTGACTAGCTCTATTTACTTGGTGACGAATTAGATTGACTTACAATTGACAATCTTGATTAAGAACAAAAAGTCGATATAAACTATTTTTTGGACAAAAGTAATACAATACTAACTGAGACATTGACAAAACATGCAACCCATACACGTGGTAGGTGAAAATCAAATTTTGCTAACGAGCTTTGTTTATTTGGCGACGAATTAGACCGACTTCCAGTTGACAATATTAGTTCAGTACAAATTTCAAAATTCGATATGGACTATTTCTTTAAAACAACAGTAGTTGTATAATTCTAACGTGGACATTGACACACCATGCAACCCATACACATAAGTAAAATCAACATTTGTTAGTGAGTTTGTTTACTTGGTGACGAATTAGACCGATTTCCAGTTGGCGATCTTAATTTACGCAGCTGAAGACATTCACAGTCAGCCTACCGCTTCTTAGCAAAGCTGATAACTTATGCCGTCATCTTGGTTCACATTCACTGTCACCCTACCGCTCCTTAGCAAAGCTGATTACTTATTCTGTCATCTTGGTTCCCCGGCTAACCCCCAACCGCAACATTGTCTCTGACCACAGCATTGTCTGTGTTTGTTCTAATCCACTCGGAAGTCATTTTGGAACGTGTTTGTAACTGGATCCTTGTTGCAATGTGGACTACGGTCCGTTTTATAGCCAGTGTACGAAATCCATGCCCAAACTACATCTTTGCTGATGATTTTTTCTGGCTAATGATCATAGATCCACTTAGCCAAAAAGTTGAACGACTGGCCTTTCCCTTGCTATATGTAGTGAGAAAATACAATTTGCTGCAACATTGGAAAAGACACATCCCCACTTCCATCGGGTTCTTTCCTCTTTCACACAGAAGAAACGTAATGGAATTTGAAAAACTAGTAAATGCATGCATGCTCTTAATGTTGGTGCTGGCTAAGCATACGATCAACAAAGAAATGCGCCCCCAACAACGGCCAGGCAAAGTTTCATGCTTAATACTGAGCTTTTAGGTCTAAGAGTCCACTGATCCAAATGATATAGTTAATGGAAAGCAGAAAAGAAAACCATACTTGTTTAAGGATCAATTGATATAGTTAATGGAAAGCAGAAAAGAAAACCACCCTTGCTTGCAACTAATAACACCTGATCACAGCTCCAAGTAATCAAAGACCACAGTACAATAAAGGTAGATCATATGAGAAATTGCATGACCAAATGAAAAACTACAGAACAAAACTGGCAAAGTTAAAATTTGGATCTAATACACGTGCATCATTAAAATTACAAAATTTCTAATAGTCGACATAATAGAATACCCTCGAGACAGTCAAAAGATTCTGACAAACTTAAAAGTTCTTAAATTCAACTTCAGATGTCTTGTAACGGAGAATCTCACTGATCTGACGGCAGAGACTTGATGATGTCCGAATCACCTGTAATCAATTATTCATAGCATAAGTTAATCGATCAGCAAGACAATCTCATACAGAACAAAAGGGTTACAGGTACAGGGTAAATAATAAAGATGGAAACATACCAGGGTCTATGATGCTGAGGCACGATACTCTGAAATACTTCCCGCAAGCTGTTCCCAGATCAACATTGTCTACAAAAATTCATCAAGTTCCGAAAAAGGGTAAACGTCAGCATCCCTTGTTAGATAAAAACTTAAAAACCCACAATATATCAAGTTAGGTAAAATAAATGTATGCCTCAGCAATGTACATATTTAAAATATACTTGGAACATCAAATACCCAAATAAAACAAAATAGAACTACTTTCGTTTGTGTACAACCAATGGAAATCCAAATACACGGTGACATTGCTGACCACCGACAGAAGAATCGTATGCCACACTTCAGTTACCGCTTTCAACCCAGCGTCATAAAATCAGATAGGTCATTCAAGGAGACAGAAAAATATATTTAATTTTACCCTATGGCTTGGCGTCACATACATAAATGGTATCGCAGTCATTTCAAGGATATAAGCAACAACCGCCGTTAAAACTTCTAAGCCACAGTACCATTTAAGGATGATACCAGCAGCATCAATTATGTTTCCCAAATAGACAGTAACAAATAGATGTTTCCCAATTGATGATTACGCCACAGGGATATACATATTTAAAAAAATACTTGAATGTCAAATACCCAAATAAAACAAAATAGAAGAAACCATAGATGGCGAACTGACGTCTACTTTCATTTGTGTACAACCATTGGAAATCGAAATACACAGGGATATTATTGCTAACCACAGACAGAAGAATCGCATGCCACACTTCAGTTACCGCTTTCAACTCAGCACGCCATAAAATCAGACAGGTCATTCAGACAGACCAAGACATTTAATGTTGTATCATACGGCATGGCGTCATATACATAAATCATCATATCACATCATTTCAAGGATATAAGAAACCAGTGCCATTAAAACTATTAAGCCTCAGTATCATTTAAGGATACCAGCTGCATAAATAACGACTAGCCTTTTATTCCTATAAGAAACAAAAAGATGTTTCCCAAATTGGGAAAGAAATAGATGTTTCCAATACTTATACTTACGCCACAGGGATGTACAGAGTTAAAACATACTTGAATGTCAAATACCAAATAAAATGGAATAGAAGAAAACATAGACGGTGTAGTGACGTCAACTTTCATTTGTTCACAACAATAGCAAATCCAAATACACATGGCCACACTTCAGTTACCGCTTTCAACTCAGCACACCACAAAATCACACAAGTCATTCAAGGAGACGGACCAACAGATTTAATGTTTATTCTACGGCACAGCGTCACATAAATCATATCACATCATTCCAAGGATATAAGCAACCACCGCCATTAAAACTTTTAAGCTACAGTACCATTTAAAGATATCAGCAGCATCAATAACCACTAAACTCTTATCCCTATAGGAAACATATCAAGTTCCATGACACAATTTCACCGACTCAAATCATGAATGTGACGATATTAACTTAATGCAATTATCAAGAGATTCAGGCCAGACGCTAAAGATTTTCATGGAGAACAACAGCAATACAACAATTATACAACAACAAGATGAAGCATAATCTAACTATGTGTGAGCTATATCGAACATAGCAACTTTTAGCCCTGCCCTGTCTCATGGGCGCAGGATACTAAAACAGATAGCAAGAGGGTCACAAAATCCAATTTGATCATTATTCTCATCACGAATTAAACAATAGCAATGCAGAAAATTCAGGCAAAAAAAATCATGATGCCCTCTCTTTCCTCCCAAAAAGTACAGAACTGGTTCTACAAGACAAAGCATGCCAATCATCCAAATACAATGGCAAAAGAACATCAACATGTACAGAATATCCAAGTCATTTTAATGTAACTAATTATATTCATTACCAGAAAGAAGCATACCCCTAAAGCCACAGTTAAGACACAGAAATGACAAAATCACAGATTACGGCAGTTAGCCATAGAACTTACTTCCGTTGTAGTGGTGAACTCCAACCTTGGCAAGCATAGCATAGTACTCGATCTCAGACTTCCTCAACGGTGGGCAGTTGTTGGAGATCAAAATGAGCTTCCCTGCAAGATGAACATGGTTATCAGAAAAAACCCATCACCAAATACAATCTTAACAGCAACAAAAAGATCATTTTCCCCACAAATCTAAAAAGGACTACAATGGAAAATAAATAAATAGCGTACATACCCTTAGAGCTCCTAAGAGTCTTCAGCACAGTCTTGTAACCAAGAGAATACTTTCCACTCTTCATCACCAAAGCCAGCCTGCTGTTGATGTTCTCATGGGTCTTCTTCTGCAATTTTTTTCCCAAATTTTGCATTTAGATTAACACGATATAAAATGATTCAATGAAGGAAAAACACAAAAGGCAAAGGAGAAAAAGGGTATGAGGTTAGGTTAGAGTTACCGTCTTCTTTCCGGTGGATGCCATTGCTGATTGTGTGGGCGGATGCCGGCGGCTGAGAGGGAGAAAAACAGCAGGGGGAGAGTATTGGAACACCACAACTGCAAACTAGGGTTTTAGGGGATGATGGCAAACTTAAAAGACTGACTAAAACGGGAACTGGGGCAGATCAACTGATTTCCGTGGTGTTGGCCCATATTTTTTGGCCAATTCAGTATTGACGTATGGGCCGTTAATAATTTAATTCTGTTTTCAATTCATTTTGGGCCGTTAAAGTTTATACTGTTGTCATGTTTCGAAACCCTAATTTCGCCACTAGGAATCCAAGAAAACATATTCCCGAACTACAGAGTAAGAATGTCTGGGTGAGTTCCTATTGGTTGTAATTTTCATTGTATTTTAGGAAACTTTGCCTCCCCAGCATGTTAAAAAAAAAAAAAAAAAAAAAAGAAATTGTAATTATATTCACTTTTGTCATAAAATGATTGTCCATTTTGGATATTAATTTTTAGTATAAAATTCAAAATGGATAATCCTTTAGGGATGGAGGAAATAAAGTAGAGAGGAGAACATTTTTGTGTGTCTAAAGAGGGGGGAACCAACAAGAAAAGGACAAAAAACAAGAAAACACGGAGATCATTCATCCCAGAACCAAACCAAAATGCCCAAACGTAACAATGTTATCCATCAAAACTTTTATTGCTATACATTGAGAAAAGGTTACAATCATGCCGATAAACTAATCAATCAAACACGATAGAGTTATCACCATAAGCACCTAACCTTAAACAGACAAATACATATTCAGACTCCCAGTGCTAGTACAGAACAAAGTTAGCAATAGATTCAAAGTGATTTTTTATTGGCTAGTGTCCAAGAAATATGATGAACATTTTAATAAATCATCAGTGTCAATTTTTTAAAAATGCTAATAATCATGGATAAATTGTCAATATTCGATAACTATGACAGCGTCTAATACATGCTAAGCTCTATTCTCCTCCCAATCCCATTTAGGAGGCATCAACTCTAAACAACGAAGTGCTCTCCGTGATCACCAAAAAACAAGCGCTCGTCACTTTCTTTGCTTTGAGCGTTTTGCTGCAACTTGTTCATCAGTTAATGGCAAATAGTATATCCTCGGAGTAGCCTTTGTTTTCTTGAACAGGTCGTCCAACGTGAGAATAGGCAGATCAGTCCTCTCCTCCACTGGAGGAGTCCGTGGTCGGCTCAAACGTTCCCTTCTGGTTTGAGGATCAGGTACTTGTTGCTTCTTGGCAGGAGTCTGTGCTGGAGGCACTGAACTGGAGATCACAGGTCCTGCAGCTTGTGAAGAACCCTCTACCCGTGTTTTCACTTCTCCTGGCTCGACAAACTCTGCAAACAGAAGACGCCCCCCATTTGCAGGCCATTGTAGGTTATAAACTGCATTTCGTGTCTCTATGGCCTCTTCAACGGAAGTATACTGCAAAAAAGTCAGTATATGTTAGTATAGATTAAAAAAGCAGTAAATCACAGGCTAGGAATTTTAATACAGAAACTTATCAGACAAATCAACTATCTGGCTTCAGCTTCTAATGTTGCAGTTTGAACAATAGTTTCTAGCATCTCTACTTGGTGGTTGGATTACTGTGGCTACTGAGCTTCTTAACTAACACTTAAACCAGATCAATCAGGTAGTAAAGAACATACTTAGTAAAACAGCCAGCAGTTGTACTCATTTTCGTGTTTAACATGAATTAGCAGTTGTCACCCCCTCAACCAAAAGAATGTTAACATTTAACAATGAAAAACCGGTTATTATTAGAGACACTCTTCCCTGGAAAGATACAACAGCCAGCGATACCAGTAAAACCCAGGAAAGTTGGGAGGAACATCAAAAGAGATTGAATCAAACCAATATAATTCACTCTTGCATGGACATCAGAAAAAGAGACAAGTTACCGTCACATAGCAATGGGTCTTGATGTTATCCATCCAGAAGGCGCTGTAAGTGCCTGTCCTAGACAGGAGCTCTTGCACAGCTTTCAGCGTAAATGGACGAAGGAAGTTATCAATGCGGAGAGAGTTAGTGGGCGCTTTAGAAGACGGAGGCACTGCCATTTTTTCAATGAAAACAAAAGAGTCAAAACATGATATACACATCAAAATATAACTCCTTGTCATAACCAAGTCCCAAAAGAGAAAAAAACAAAAGAGTTCAACAAATCTACTAACCAACACGTTCATTATCTCCTTCAGTTAATTTAGATCCATCAACACTGGGATCCATTACTGATACTTTAGACAGTGAAACATCCGAGCCTCGTTGTTCAGGCATTTTTACTTTTCCCTCACTCCATCTCCTCTGCCTCTTCCGAGTTTCATTATTTTCTGGTGCAGGTTCAACTTCCAAAAGCAATTTCAAAGAAACAAATTTAACATATTACTTCAGATATGAAAAGCAAACAAACTGGACATGACAAAATCTTCATATGCATTTCTAATCTTTCATCACATCCCAAGTCAGAGTCAAAAGAAGGGCAAAACAACAAAAATATTATATGAGGACTATTTGGAACAAGGTGTATAAGTTCTGTTCCAGGATTTACAAGAGCAGGAAATGAAGATGCCATGTTGTCTTCAAAAAAAAAAAAAAAAAAGGAGAAAAAAAAATAGATGCCATGTGAATTGTTTTAACACCCTCAGTGAAAGGTGCAGGTTCTAAGAAAACTAGCAATTTATTTTATAACGAACGAATTCAAATTAGCCGATGTGAAACACAATCAGTAAACAAATGATTTAGCGAGAGTGAAATAAGGCATCTGCAGTACCTTCGAATTTTCTTTTCTCAGAAGACGGGGGCATTCTATCATCATTTGCATCAGACGAGTAAGGAATATTAGCAGGAGTATCAGCTTGCACGGCTGCAGTGACAGAATCAGCAGCATTCATAACGATTTCTTCAGTTAACTTGATCTCATCACCCACTTTGCTTTGATTAAAGTCAGAATCAGTATGTTTTGTCTCCATCATATCATCGTCCACGGAATCATCAGCTGATGATTGATCTAGATTTATTTTTTCAAGAGGGCCTCCATCTGTCATGCCAACCAACTCACTATTATTTACGATGGAGGATTCATATCAATAAGATAATGATTTCAAACCATGAAAGCACCCCTTTGATAGGAAAGAAAAATACAGCTACTAGTCATACCTAGCAACTGTCCTTCGCTTGAAACAGCAACATCAAGTTTCTCATCAAGAGAGGGGTCCATGCGCTCAAGAGGCACATCAGGATTATGAGCGTCATCTAAATTTGTATTTGCAGCCGAGGACAGTTGATCTAACTCATTATCACCTGCCACTTGATCTGGACCCCTATTCTCCTTGATTTGGTCTAATACAGAAACATCATCTGCACTATAAGTTTTCTCACTAGATATCATATTATGTTTATCATCAGCTTCTACAACCAAATCCTCTTTCACATCTGGGGCTTTAACTTCTGATGCAAAAAAGCTGTCATCACCTGAAGAGTCTTTACGGGATGATGATTGTACGGTCTCCTGTCTAACAACTTTTGGTTCTAATTTAAAGTTATTATCATTTAAATTTTCATTTATTTCAGTTTTTTCAATATTAGAGATAGTAATATTATTATCAGTTGTAATTGACTCATAGTGTACTTGAAACCCTAAGTTCGAGCTAACCTCATATACCTGGTTGCTTGGGTGGGTCACCTGAGAAGTGGCATTCATCTGAATAGGCTTTAAATACTCATCCCCCAACTCAGTTCCAGGGCTAACCACGACTTTTTCTCCAGCTGCAGATGGCACTACCTCAATATGCTCATTTTCCGCCTCCGCAATGCTATTCTTAATATTGTCACTGCTAGTTACAACCTGTTGACCTCCTAGTTCACTCTGAAAACCTCCACTTTGGAGAGAAGTCTCTAGACGATCCGCTTCAACTAGACTGTCTGCCTGCTCATAACCTAAAACTGATTTCTCCTTTGTAACTCCACTGTTTCCATGTAAATCCTCACTTTGAGCAATTGGGTTAGACAAAAGCTTATCCATGTTATTACTGGTGCCATCAGAACTGCCTACAACCCCTGATCCCACTAATGATGAGAAAGGAACAGATGCACCATCTGTTCTCCCTTCATCACTTTGAGAAGTTCCATCAACCATGTCAGTCCCAATGGTGTAGCTTTCCACTATAGCCTCATTATCATCCTTCTTCTGAGCAGCTATTTGCACATCATGTTTCAGATGACTATGATCGCTCAAAGGTTCCTTGAAAACATCCGAATCTCTCTGCACATGTACCCCAAGATTTAGCAATGCATTGTAAGAGGCTCCATCCTGACCCAATGGTTCATTGATATGATGCATATTGGTTTGTCCTTGTGCCTCAAGATTTGATCTTTCGCTGCGAATTGCTTCATCCAATCTTCTTACTAGATCATCCTTCAAACCCTTTACCATTAAATTCCGTCTCTTAAGCTCTTCTTTCAGTTCTGTCACCTTCCATTTGTTGATTGGTCGATCATAGAGAACAGGATACTGAGTTGACATCGTTCCTGTTCAACAGTTCAAAGGAACACTTGACCTAAAAAGCAAACTAGATACACGTCAGATTTCTCTTAATTTGCAAGAATGTGAAGGAACAGGAGAACACTGAAACTTTTGCATCAATAAGAAAGAAAACACAACAAAGGATGAAATCAAAGCACAAACACCATGTCTTACACATCGAAACAACTACTCAATTGTAATTTTAAAATTTCAGACGTTTGCCTGTGTGTGTTGTACCCGATTTTAGTGCCTTGTCCTCTTATAGAAAATCTTCATTCATTGTGTCAATCAAAACAATTCAACTGTAATACAACAGGCCTCTAAAAACCTCTAACATGGAAATGTATAAACATCTCAATAAAATAAAAGCAACCCCAGGAATCACTGAGCCACAAAATAGTTTAAAAAATAAGACAATAATTTAAACAAGAAGAAGGGAAGTAACATACAAAGAGAAGAAATAGAAAGCGTTGCTGTATCAGCAATCTATAATCATACAAAAGGTACAAAGTTAAGCAGTTGGCAATCGCAATCGAAGGAATCATAACAACTTGTCAAAAATAAACATGAACATCGGACTACACATCCCAAATGCCAAAAGCAAAAAAAAAAAAAAGAAAAAAAGAAAAGAAAAAAAGAAAGAGTCAATCTATACGCATAAATCAATGTAAACACAGCATTTGAAGAGTACAAGAAATACAGAGAAACACTTACTTTGCCGTAGAAGAGAACCAATTGACCCTTGTTCAGAGGCCGCAATTCAACGGAACCCTAATCACCAAATGCACCACAGAAATCCGTCAAATTAATAAACGAAACATTGAATCAGATACTCAATGAGATTGAAATTGCATAAGCATCAATGCAGGAAAAAACTCCTACCTGCAAGTTACAAACTTTTATCGGGAAGAAAGTTCCACCGGAATAAATTTATTTCTCAAAACAGACGAACAAAAAATGAGCAGGAAAAAAACTTTTTTTTCCCCCTATTGATAATGAAAAGGGATTCCTCGAATGATTATTCCAACGAAAGAATGATATAATCAATCTAAATTTTTCAATTGGAAGTTTTCATGTAGCCCTAATTTTTTGTAGTAGAATTGGATAAGGAAGAAAAAGAAGAAAGGGGAAAGTTGGGGAGGTAGTTGATAGTTGATTCTGTTAGTTGCCGATGTGGAAACCCGACAAATTGGACCTAGCTCCAGAATATTAAGGATAAGAAATCGGGTAATAAGTACCTTGCGAAAATATCGATTCAGGATACATATTACGGGAAAATGTTATGTTCTACCCACAATCTTTTCTTCAAAAGTACCTCTGGTCTCCCTTTTTTTTGTGTGCAAAATCTAACAAACAGAATCCTCAATAACAAAATATCCAGCCCGCGGTGTAGCTAGGAATTGCTATTGGAGATGGTTGGGTGGTTACACGATGAACATCGGCTTCACTGTTATTACAGGAGCAGAATTATGGGATTTATTTTAGGCCTTAACTCAGACTTTTGCATGGGAGTTTGGTGGTTGTAAGGTGATAACGCAAGTCGATAGGACGAGTATATTACACATGGTGCAAGGTAACAATATGATACTCGGTGCTAATGTGCAAGTCATGTGTATAGAATCCGAGAAATACTAAAGTAAAATTGGACGGTTGAACTTAAACATATTTTTCGGGAAGCAAATTTTGTCGCATATTTCTTGGCTTCATTGGCAATAAAGGGCTAGACGAACTGCAATGGCTAGTTGCTCCATCATCGGGTGTCAAACCGTGATTAGAGCATGATGTAATTAGGGTGGCACACCCCCGAAATGTGCTTGTATATTTTAGGCTTTTTAGCCTTTTTTTTTATTGTAACAAAAAGAAAACAAAATATCCAAATTGGTCCCAAATCTTTCAAAATGTTGGAGATTTGGAGCTCAAGTTATAAAAAATTTTATTATTATTTTCTTTGTTTTTTTAAGAAAATTCACCACGATGAACCTCACTTAAATATGAATAACACCTCTCTTACAAGCCCTTGATGAGAATTGAACCTGTATCTACTCCCAGAAAACAAATCATCTTAATCACGATCCTGTTATTCGATTTCCCTATAAAAAAAAAAGAATAACTCTACATTTTATTTTATTTTTAAGATTTTTCTGATTTCCTAATTTTAATTTTTTATCAAAGTTTGTTTTCACAGTAGGTAACAATTTTGAACCGAACAAAGGGAAGTGCGAACCCACTACTAATTTCTCTTGGTTTGCTTCTCTTTTCTAAAAAATTTCAACATTTTCCCATCTAGTTAGAATGAAAATTGACGATTGACACTCTTGCATAGGATTGTTATTATTGGTTATGACTTATGAGTGATTCAGTAAATTAAAACTCTCAAAATCTGATAAAATTTACTCTTCGTTTGGACCTCCTATTGGGGCTATCCGTCACGTAACATAGTTCATTTAATCTTTTCAAAATTTAGCTTTCTTCGTTGATATTGTACCTAAAGAAGATTGGTAAATTTCGAAAAATGGGGTAACTTAATTATCTTATTATGCAGCATATATCACGTTTTATGTGCAAAATTGATGCATTACTCTGCATTCTAATCTAGGCCCCAGCGATTTCCTTAATCAAAGAAAGAACTGAATCTTTAAAAAGAAGGATTGATCTGTGCCTGTGGCCACTTGTAGTCTATCTTGTTAATATAAGTTGAGTGCAAATTGCTTTTGTTTCCAAAAGTTAATTAATCTTTAAAGCCTTTTGTTTTGTTTTGTTTGTTTTCCTCATTACTCACGTGGTAAGGAGTTAGAAACTTTAACCCCTCTAGCTATCGAGGTTGACAAACACTGATTAAAACGTTGCAACTTGCAACGCCACCAATTTATCACTCTAAAAGTGTCTTAAGTCTTAACTGATGGTTGCGAAATCTTGAAGTAATAGTCCGAATGAAGTATATATAGAGCGGAATGAAATGATAGTCCAAATTATGGATAAGAGGGTCAATTTAGTAAGGTTCGTGCTTTGTAATCACCTGAATAAGTAGTGGTAATATCATTTCAAAAGAGTAGGTATCTAGGGGAGCAATAATCTAACTAATTAAGAGATATTCCCTCCTGTCCTTATTATAAGACATTTTGATTTCGTCTAATTTAGGATGTCTTTTTTATTGGAAATAAAATCTTAAAATAATATTTTCACATTCGTTGTGTTCTCCTAATTATTATGAAATGTTTTTAAGGTTTTTATTTCAATTAAAAAGACATCTTAGGTGAAACGTATGACGAAATCAAAATGACTTATAATAAGACCTGAGGGAGTATTTGTTAATCACTTTGAACATTTCTTTCCCTGTGGCATATAAAAGCCCTTATTAAAAGATAAAATTTCTTAAACAGCAAAGAGTTGAGCGAATTGCTACGGGAAATTTGGGTCCAAGTAAAAGTGAAGGCTGTGTTTGTTTGGTTTTTTGGATAGTTTTTTAAATTATTTTAATAATAAATGTTTCATCTCAATATATTTTTTACATTTTAAATATATTTTTTTTACAATTTTAATACAAAAAATACCTAAAAACAAACACTAAAAAAACAAAACAAACATACTCTAAAAAACTCAGTCGATATAAATTGTTAACATATCTTATCATTATACTTAAATAAACTTTTAATTTTTTTACACATTATTTAATAAGTAAGGTGAAGATATCAATCTAAATAACCAACTACTTTCTAGCATCAACTTTTGCCCCCACTAACAAGAACAGAATTCATGGAAATCATGGATTCCTGCAAGAATCGCGGTTATAATTGTTTACTCCGGAGTCAAAATGATGAAATAAAGGTCGGTGAACTTTTTCATCAAAGTGGTCAACAATTACCAGAAAGCTACTATATCTCAAAACAATGAATGGCTGTGATTATCGGTCTCATTACAAGAACAGATATACGACGTAGATCTTAATATATTCACAAATCACGAGATTTTGGTCCGCCGAGTGAGGTCAATTTAACAAATTGAAATGACGTTTGTCGCATTAATTTAATTAATCATGCAATTAGCTTTTTTTAGCAAACATAAATGCATGATTAGATAATGATTTATGTATACCTCGCATTTAGGATAAAGATGATCAAAGTTCCTACCTCGGATCTCTGGTGGGGTTTTTGTAGAATCTGGAAAATAAATTGTTTTTCTTGGGTATGAAAATGACCTATGCATAATGGATTGTGACATTGGTGGCACCGAAGAAGCAAAATGACAATTATGAATGGTTTTGTAGTCGTTGATTAGGTTACAGGTGTTTTACGATCAAGAACTACAAGTTCACCATTGGTATTGATCCAATCAATTTAAGGATCTTTTTTTTTTTTTTCCTTCTGATTTTGTTTTTGTGTGGCAAGCCGTGGAAAGGGGGGCGCCATGCAATCCCATCAAAACACGTAAACAGATGAATCAATCAAATTGTAGGAAGAGGGAAACTCTACGACGAGTGACATAAATTCTCTGCTCCCTCCGATCCTTATTATGAGTCATTTTGATTTGTTATGTCTTTTTAATTAAAATGAAAACTTTAAAAATATTTTTTAATAATTAAAAGAACACGACGAATATGAATAAATATGTTTTAAGAAAAAAGGTTTTTTTTTTTATATAATTAAAGACACATCTTAGGTGAAACATAAGACAAAATCAAAATGCCTTATAATAAGGACCGGAAGGAATACTATCTATGGCGTCATCCGAGTCTAATATTGCAGCGAATTACATAATCATTTGACATCAATTGCGGCACATATTATAGCCAGAGGATGTTATAATGTCGTGAAATCTTTAATTAGATTATCTTGCAGTTGGAGGAGTTCACAAGATTATGTACGTGTTGTTTAAAGTTTTAAAACTTTTTACCTTTTACTGTATTTGGCGGTATACAATCTAAATAGTCCGTAATCATAATGTTTCCACTGCATTTGAAAGAAATTATCAAATCATATGTCAAATGTATGTAATTATTGATTTAATGATTAACACAAGACATCAAGTTAAAATCGAGTCATAAATAATTGAAGTTGGACGAGTGATTTGATATTCTTTCAAAATGAGGAATTAATCAAACATAATAAAACTGTTTTTTTTGGGGGGGGGGGGGTAATTCATTGTTTGAATTATTCCTTATGCACTGATGAATGTGAAGAATTATTTTTAGCAATCATATATTTTATAAGTTGGAATATTTTATCATTCATGTGTAATGCTACAACTAACTTTGCATGTCTTTTTCTAAATTTATACTTTGATGGACCCTACAGTGACGGCAAATGTTCATAAAAATTTGTATGGTATTCGATTGCTGTGATCTTTAAATTACATCAATTTCATCTTTTTCTTTGCTTAATAACCAATTTACCCTGATTAAATTCCTCAAAACATCAGAGTTATGTTAGTATGTTTGTTTCGTTTTTTGAGTGTGTGTTTTTAGGTGTTTTTTACATTGGGAATGTCAAAAAGATATATTGAAAATGTAAAAATGTATGTTAGAATGGGACAGTTATTAATATTTTAATTTAAAAAAACCATCAAAAAAAATGAAACAAATCACGTCTTAAAAATAATTTAACAAATGAAACTTTTATTTTTTAATATAGGAAAACTCTTACTTTTTACAGGCTTCGTATTCTTTTCTCTTTGTGTCATTTTCTTGTGAGGATATCATGGGAACGTGTCTTCTTTTCTAAAAGATCCGGTTAAAATTTAATTAAAGTGAATCAAAGATACCTCACAACATATCAAATTAACATTTTTCTTTATCATAAACTACTTAAAGAATTACTCCTTTTTCTAGAGGAAGGTCCATAATTTGTGGCCTTTATTTTATTTTTCTCTCTTTTAATCCCATTGCACCGACCCATTTACAATGACCCACTTACATTCAAATAATCCACAAGAAGACACATCTTTATACAGGGTTTGTCACTTGTCACCTTCTTTAACAGGTGCAAGTTACTACCAAACCCAATTTTTGATTTTCTTAGGATCTACACGTGGGCACCCGATCCGCCTTCGGATCATTCAAAATGTCCAAGCGTCAGAAAACCCTAGGTCTCGATCAAGCCTTCCTAATAAAACGACAACAATATAAAGACGAAAATGGGCTGTTTTTTCTTTCGAGTTTTTGATAGAGAAGTGAAACAAATCTCTTTCATTTTTTAGGTCGAATTACTGTTTCCAAACAGGGGGAAGGTTTTCAGTTTCCTCAATTTTCAGTTAAACTTTGTTATTGCGTGTACCTCAAGTATCAATTAGGCTCTACTACTGCTAGCTATCAAACTTAATTTGGAAGTTAAACTTGACCAAGTCCCGCTAATATTAATTACAGCTAATTTATGGCTAATTAGATTGCGAATGACGGAGACTCGTGAATGAAAATGATCGTATATATCAATCGTGTTATATTGAGAGTCAGAAAATACATATACGTAAAAATCACAGAGAATTACTAAAATTTTCAATCAAGTTGGTTACGTTTGTCAAATATTTTTGAAATTGGTATATATATGTCTTGTTCCTAAAACCGACCACATTAATTAGTAGACCAAGAACGTTAAGGAGGGAAGTCAGTGCCCGATGTTTCAATTCCACAACTTAAAGAAGAAGATTCTTGATCCTTCTTGTATTGATAATGAAACTCTCCATCCACCTCAATAATTAAATAAATATACATAGTACACACTAATTTATTTTCAGTCATTTTTTTTAATTTATTTATTTAATACACCTTGGAAACTTTTAGCCTCCTATAAATATGAGCTTGTGGCTACAATTTCAGTCCACTATACCCACACTTTCATCAATTCAGTTAAGCAAAAAATAGCAACAAATACACACACTCCCTTTGTCTCCATACACATAATTCTCTCTCTCCTTAGTACCAAACGGTACACTCTTTCTTTCTAGTTCTACAGTCTTTTTCTTTCAGTCCTTCGATCCTTTTTCCAAATCTTAACACAAAAATCAGCTTGTTTTGATCAAAGGGAGCACAGGAAAAATGGGAGTTTCAGGCACTTTGGAGTATTTGTCCGACTTGATCGCCAGCAAGACGGCCAAGAAAAAGAAAACCACGACCACAGTTGCTCTTAAGATCAGGATGGATTGTGAAGGATGTGCACGTAAAGTTAAAAAGACCCTCGAAGGTGTCAAAGGTATTGAGTCTATATTCATATTTATATACGTTGTTGACATATATTAATAAGACGTTAAAGGCACAACTTCTTAGTAATAAGACGCCTTTCCTGTTTTCAATAAGTCTGATTAACGTGTTTTTTTTTCTTGTTTTGGGACGAGTGCAGGTGCGAAATCGGTGGATGTGGATTTGAAGCAGCAAAAGGCAACTGTGACGGGATTTGTGGATGCAAAGAAAGTTTTGAAGGCAGCTCAATCAACTAAGAAGAAGGTTGAGCTGTGGCCTTATGTGCCATACACCATGATTGCACATCCATATGCTGCAGGGGTTTATGACAAAAAAGCACCACCAAATTTTGTGAGGAAAACTGCCGAGCCTGGTGTTGCTACATTAAATCCTGTTGAAGAACAGTATACTTTGATGTTTAGTGATGAGAATCCGAATGCATGTTCTATCATGTAACACGTATGTACATATCTATAATTAATTATGTCTCTTTCCTTTTCATTTTCTTGCTCCTCTAGCATTATTAAATTTCGTAGTATACCGCTCCCTCTAACCATAAATGTAGTCCAAGTTGTTGAATCAATTTCAACAATTTGTTCTATTCTTTTATTATTTTCTGGATACATGAATCATGAGATAATTCTAAATGATTACATATTACATTTAAATTCGTCTTCATTTGAAAAGCATAGATTTTATTTGAAAGACAAAACTTTTTAAACAAATATATTACGTACCGGAATTATTAAGGGAGATGACCTTATATAGCTCATAATCAAAATTTTATCTCCAAAATAATTTGACATGTGTTTCAGGAATGTATAATAAAACTTCCTCTGGAGCAAAGTTCAGTTGTTTATCATTCATATTAGGAACCTAAATAGTCATATCTCAGATTATAGTATCAAAATATAAATAAACGGACAAAGAAAATGGACCCATAAAACCCTAATTGTTCGCCATTGTGCATGTTATACGTCTCATACCTATTGACTCATGTTGAACATATACCCTTCCAAAGCATGAAAGCACAAAACGTAAAAGTAGGGAAATGAAATTATAAAATCATATGGCTAAAAGTCTGTTTATGCTAGCTTTCACTATGCTATTTTAGGACACATAGAGCTTAAATTATATACCTCCAAAAAATGATTCATTATGTTCACTGAAAATAAGGAAAAGAAAAAAAATTCCTCAGGAAGTGACAAGAGAATGTACGTCTAATAAATTTGATAACTTTTCTAGAGAATCGGGGAGGATAAAAGTAGTCATTAACGGGATAGTTACCCGTTTAAATTAATAAAATCAATCTAAAAGTACATGAGAAGGACAAAAATGACCAAAAATTTTCTTAGTAACGAAATTTCCTAGATGGTCAGGAAGTTTCCCAGAGAATTAGACAGCGGCAGATTAAGCTAAACACCAGAAAATATCTCAAGCTTTTCACCTTGTCTGATTAATTAATTTAATGGCAAGGGTCAGCAATCTCACCTTGTGTACCTTTTTTGTTCATTTTTAAGATAAAAAGCCTCTACTTAATTAGTGATCCTTTCTTTTTTCTTGAAGATCAAAGATTCAGCTATGACAAATTTGGTTTGTGAATTTCAACTCAAATCCAATTGGTTATGAAAAGAGTAGCTCATGAAATTTATATATTGATATAAAGTTACTTTTAATACCGATTTGGGATAAGAGTTTCATCACTCCCCCTCAGGCCCAATAGACATGGACTAGATTACCCGATATTTTTATTGGTTAGTCCGATTGCCTTTGACCCAACAGACATGGACCTAGATCAGTCCAATCGCCGATTATAATACTGGGTCGGACCCGCTTTTATACCATATAAAAATTCATAACTAATTGGTTATGAGGGGAGTAGCCCGTAGAATTTATGCATTGATACAAAGTCACTCCCAATACAGATGTGAGACAAAATGATCATAGAAAATGATCATTTCTGATTTTGTTTAACCACCTGTATTTATACATGAGAAATTCATTTCTGGAGCTACATATTACTCTGCTCTGAAATGATTGTTCAGTTTGAATTTTTATTTTCAATTTCTATTTTTATTTTTAGTTCAATATGTATTAAACGAAGTGAAATATCTGAAGTGTACGATCATTTTGAGATAGATGGGGTATGTATTATAATGATTGTTTTTTTTTTCTAATCCAAAATTTTATTAAAATTAAAAATTTAGATTGGACAATAGTTTTAGGCTAGAAAGAATAATTAGTAGTGATGATAGTGAAATTCATTATGTATAGCATATACTAATAATTACTAGAATGATTAGTAGTATCCAAAGAATGTTTAAAATTACTGGCCTCGAGCCTTGACTTCCCTTATTGGTCTTGTCATCTTTAAAGAATGCCTCCCAAACGTAGTAGGCCACGTTCAAGGCCCGTCATTATCAAGGCTCAATAATTGAAGGCCTCCGAAGTCACTAACTGGGCTGGAGTTAGGTATTTTCATCGCTCATAATAATAGCTGTCAACATATACTTTGCTGAAGAACATAAGGGTTTTTTTTTTTTTCATTTAAGTAAAAGTTGTATGGTTTTGGTTCCGTATATATCGATCAAACGTTGCATCAAAGAGATATTCGAACTTCGAAGGACAGTACTACATGGAGCAAGAGCTAGGATATGTAAAGTATCATTTGAAAAATAAAATAAGAAATAATAGGTTAACCGAAAAAGAAAAAGAAAAAATGATAGTGAAATTGCTTGGTCAAAATTATGAGGAACCAATAGGGTGAATGGCGGATTGATTAAAGTGATTTGAGAGCTGCTAGCCCGGATATGGGAAGTAGAAAAAACGCATACACATGTTTAGGGAATTAAATTTTGTAACAGATTTTTTTTTAAAAACTAATTTTGCACCATCTGAATTATGAATTATTCCCTCTGTCCCAAAATTATTGTACAGTTTGAGATTTCACTTTTAGTACAATTTGAACTAAAAGTGAAAACCCAAACTGGACAATAATTATGAGACGGAGGGAGTATTAATTTTAAAGTTATATAAACGTTGATTAGATGTAATTTTATTATATATTAGAACACAATTTAATTGTAATATTTATCATCCAAGAATATACTAATGTTGTGATCTATGCTTATTCCTCTTTTTAGCTCATGTTGGCTAATCCTCATATGTATAATGATCTTTTTTTTTAAAAAAGAAAAATTTTTGTGGCAATAGAAAATGGCAAAAATAAATAAGATACATCATACGTGGATATGAAATGTACACATAAGCATCAAAGCAGATAAGCTAAAAATCTCCAAACGAATTCTCAACATCAAAACTTCACAAATAAAAATTGATCAGAAACGCCAGCTTGAATATCAATATGTCCTTCGTTTCGAGCAGAGCCGCCGCCATAAGAACGAACAAGAAATGTGAAGTGTACATAGCAACGGTACCATTGAAAGCTCCAAGAGGGCCTCCCCAAGTCCTCATGTCCACTCTTTATTCTCTCAATTTGTTTCAATTCCAGCATTACATGGTCATTATCAACAACAACAACAACAATGCGTCACAATCCGAGGTTTTGGTTTGCGATTTTCAGCCGGAAGATCCCGAGGACATATTCACGGCGGTTAGCGCGTTATCGGGCGGGAAAGTACCCGGAGTTGTGCTTACTAGGAAGCTAAAGAAGTTGCCTACAAGGAAATGTTGGTTTGTTGGGCATTGTAGTGATGATGATTATGGTGTGGAAGAAGGTTTGCGGGAATTTAATGAGGATTGGGACACTGATTTGAGGATTGGGCATCATGATTGCCGGAATTATGTGAATGAATTGGTCGAGTTTCTCACCGGTGAGAAGCAAGTGTTGGCCAGGGGAATTTCTTAACAACACATAGTTATACTATATGAGGATCCACCTAGACGGTGGCTGCGGATCCACCATATAATTTGCCGATTGATCAACTTTATGTATAAACTATATGAGGATCTTTGCATTGCTCTAAACTGTAATTATTCATCAACCATTCTTATTTTAAATCTGCTTTGTGACCATTTCTGCAATCTTACGCGGCAAGTATTATGGAGTTAGGGGTGAAATGGTTTGATGATAAAATGTTACAACGAAATCAGGTTACTCTATTTACAATTTTTCCAAATATGTAACCACAACTCTCTTTTTATTATGTTAATAAATATATTTCCAGTGAATGCATATATGGATTACCAAATGGAGCTGATGTGTAGAGAACTTGAGAGAAGATTCTACTTGGGGATTATTGGATCAACAATACTTTCACTAAATTCATGATTGTGCTGTAAATTTAACCCCTCTTTTTTTTTCCCCCTCGAATCAGCAAGTAAACAGCTAACCCAAGAAATTAAGTGAAGATTATGGTGTATATATGGCCAATTATTTATGAATTGGTGAACTTGAACAAATTCTTTACGAAAAAGGTCATAAAAAAAAACCCTAAATCCAAAAATAATTAAAACTGGTTGGCGATAGATTAACCGAGTGCAAAAAAATAATTCAGGTTCAACAACTTAAACAAATTAATATTAAGTTGGAAGAGATTCCAAATATATATTATATTATTAGTAATAATAAAGAAGTCAGGCAAGGCTTTGACCAAAAAAGTCTATGATGCCGCCAACGTTTTATTTTCTTTTTTCCTTTATGATGCGGTTAAACCTTAGCTTAACTAATCTATGATAACGAATTCCTGTAATTCGTTTATTAATTTTGTTAAGTAGTCACTTTGCCGTTAAATGAAAATAAGCTCTTGTGATAACAAGGGGGAAAAAAAACCCTCCGCAACGTAGGCACAAACGCAATCATAGAGATTAGTTTCTTATTTCACCAAATTGCACTTTTTTATGGCTTCAAATTTCGCACCTCTTCAACATATTAGGATATACACTAGTGAGAGTTTCAAACTTATAATTCCATTAACTGAAATTGGACTCAAAATTTCAAAGCAAATAAAAAATTAATCCATTTGTACAGTATGATGACATACATATGATCTATATAACTGACCATATATAATGGGAAAAGATTTGAATTAGAAAGTCTTTATGCAATTGATAAAATGTCCTTTCTGGGAATTATGTCACAAACTAACTATTGATCATAGCCTAACAACTGTAGTCGATTAGTTTATATTGACATGCGTTAAGCACTGCTAAAAACAGTACTATTCTTAAAAATGACCAAAAAAAAAGAGAAAGAAGAGTAAAAACGACTACAAAGTGTTCTATTTTTTTTTGTTTCACGATTTGGTTAATTAATGGGCACACAATTGAAATGATAATTAGGAAATGGATTTTAGCACAGGCTTCTTAAAATTTCTTAGATTTCTAACAAAACTAAAGAATGAAAAAAATATCACGACGAATACGTAAATCTAGATACAAGTTTTTTTTTTTGTTGTATCGACGACATCGGAGTGCCTTTTGCCTTCTAACCGTGCGTGGTACCAACACTGTAGCGGATGGTATACTTGTTGTGGTAGATGGGAAGGTGACAGAGTTTGCGGTAGTGTGAGTGGGTATTCGTTTGGGTGGTATTGTTGTGTACCGAGAGGCAAATTCTGCAAATCGCAGGACGAATGTTGTATGGATGTAATGATTAATGGTACTCAAGTTCCATTAATGTGTAACGAAAATAAAATTTGTTGTGCTCCCAAAAACGGCATTTGCAGCACCAACAAGGACTGTTGTGATGGTTTGGTCTGTATGCCCCAAGAGAAAAAAATTGTGGCGGTGGCAAATATTTGGCAGACGGTAATGGTGTCTTCCTGTACTCCTGCTTCCCCGCCCCCAGTAATTAGAAAAAAATGATAGAACCCGCCATCCAGTTGTTAAACTCATATACTTCTTCTATACACATCATCAATATAGGTTGTTATACTCCCCCAGTCTCAAAAAAATAGTCCATATTAATTTTTTTGATTTTTCAAGGTGTTTTTGTTTTCCTTCTGTTTGCGTAATATTATTTCGAATAAATATGGTGGTGTATATATGTGTAAGAAGTACATGTACCAAGCTACCAACTCCCTTGCGGATGCATTGAAGAAGTAGGTTTTAATGTATGTGTTGTTATGTGAACTAATTCATGTTTTTTTTCCGTTTATTTTTTTTGGTTGCTTTTGTTACATTGTATAAATTGTCTATTCGTCCGAGACTTAGAATTAATGTAGATCATATGCATTTAATTACACGGCCAAGAGTATATATTATTTGGAGCATTATGAATGTTGTACATTAAACTTTCTATACTCCCTCCATTTCAAAATGTAAGTCACTTTAGACTCTATATCCTCCATTTCAAAATGTAAGTCACTTTAGACTCTACACGTAAACTAAGGAGACAATCATTTAATAATTAATTTATGTGTTAAATATCTATTTTATCCATCATTAATTGTTTTGAAACTATGACCAAGACTAGATAAAAAATGGTTAACATCATTTATTGGGGGCAAAGTTGGGAAGTTATCCTTTAATTTGCCTTGATATCCTGAAACGACCTATATTTTGAAATATTTTTTCAAATCTAAAACGACCTACATTTTGAAATATTTTTCCAAATCCTACAACGACCTATATATATATTAATTATAAAATACACCCTTATAGCTAGTGCCCAATTACAAGCCACTCATTCAGTACTGAACACGGAGATTAAACATGGTACCAAACCATTTATTTTCCTATAAATAACTGAACTGAGGCACCCCAAATGTTACAATTTTTTTTATCCAACATTTTAATTCACTAGTTAATTATATTGCAAAAAAATGAAGTCATCATCTACTCATTATATTGAGAAAATTTAATGAGAATTGGGACACTAATTTAAGGATCGGGCATCACGATTGCCGGAATTGTATGATTGAATTGGTCGAGTATCTTACTGGTTTGGCCAGGCGAATTTCTTAAGAACACATAGTTGTACGATTAGTTTTTATTTTATTTTGCTTAAAAGAAAGTTTAGTCTGCTTTGTTTGGAAAGTTTTTGTAGTGTGTATTAATTTTGATATTTGTTTATTTTTTTTATTATACATTGGATATACATCACAATAACTTTTTTTTTGCTAAGTTATAAACGTGTTAATGGGTTAGATTGTCAGTAGTCTCACTAACAAATAAGTAAAGGATGTCTTGAGATGAATTAGAGAAGTTGAAAGATAGTAAATTAAGTTACCAATAATTAGCACAAAATCTGTAACCAGATTTGGATTAAATGTAAGGGGCTCACCATACTCTTTGTTTGTAGCTCGATGAAACCATTGCTCGCAATGGTCCCTTTTCCTTTTAAAGTAAAAACAACGGTCATTTGTACCAAAAAGAAAACAAACACACACACACACACACACACGATGGCCTTCATTCCAACTTGTCACAAACATATTCCCTGTCGAACTCCCTTGAGATTCTTCCCAAATTTATTCATTTCGCAAGTCGTATAAATATGACACCAATATAAAAAAAAAAGAAATTGTGTTAGGTTAGTCTTATATATAAAATATCAATATCATCACTTGAACATGAAAGTTTTTTCCTCCTCAATCGAGGGTCACACACAAAATACACCCTTATAGGTACTGCCCAATTACAAGCCATTCATTCAGTTCTGCCCGCACACGAGAGATGAAACATGGTACCAAATCATTTATTTTCCTATAAATAACTAACCTGACATGAGGCACCCCAAATACTACATTTCTTTTATCCAGCATTTTAATTCACTAGCTAATTACATTGCCAAAACATGAAGTCATCATCTACTCATGAGCAATTCATGATGATGCTAATGATGTAAGGGACAATAATGATTCTTGGTTGTATGCAAGTAAGCACCGCTACTGATTGTAACCCAATGAAGCTGAGTCCTTGCGGTCCAGCGATCTTTCACAGTGTACCTCCGTCGGCAAAATGTTGTGCTAAGCTGAAGGAGGAGCGTCCTTGCCTTTGCCTGTTCAAGAAAGATCCAGCCCTTAGGAAGTATGTGGACTCCAAATATGCAAAAATGATTGCCATGGTTTGTGGTGTTCCCAAACCAAAATGCTAATTAAGCTTCTGGGAGTTTAAATAAAAGAGTGATCATCTTTAATAAAAGTGGTATGATTGGTAATCCTCACACCAGTTAATGAAACATATGCTTAATAAATTCTGTATTTTGCCAATTAATGTAACTAACTCCTAAGTTAATGAAGACTTCAAACCCAATATAGCAATCTTTCAGAGCATTTGTAAAAGCCTATTCAGTTTTGTTTTAGACTGTTAGGACATGATGTTTATGTCTTCATCAAGAATATATAGACCACATCATGCTAATTCAAATTCGCCCCTTATACGAGCTCCTCTTTTGGTTGTTAGAACACATCATTCCTTACTATTTACAATCGAAATTTACATCTTGCTAAACTATAATATGAACAAACAACATTACATATAATTGTAGTCCGTAGAGTATGTTAATGTCATCAGCTAGCTCACTGCAGCTTCAGACTTATGGGTGCTAACTAGAGATTCTTCAACAGGAATCCGAGTAAAACACTCCTCAAAATTGGTGGTGCATAATTTTCCATCACCTTTTGGTACAAAACTTGGTCTAATCTCCTTAGCTTCTAACTTCTCCCAATCAATAAAACTAAACCATTTGTGCTTCTTCACTTCTTCACCGCCTTTCCTCCCTAACCTCAACTCTACATCCCTTGTCAAAAGCCCTGTCAACAATGATATGGCATCGCTCGTCAAATACCTAGGAAATCTAATTGTCCCGTTCACGATCTTTTCTCGAACTTCGCGCCGGTCCCTCCCTTCAAACGGTAATTTCCCTACTAACATCTCGTATAACAAGATCCCGAAACTCCACCAATCAGCAGTTTTGTCATGACTTATTTTACGTATAATTTCGGGCGCCGCCATATCTATAGTCCCAGGGAACGATGTGGATGAACTAGGGCTCTTATTCGCGAACCCAAAATCGATCAATACCACGTGTCCTTTGGAGTCTAATAACACGTTCTCGGACTTAATGTCGCCGTGGATGATTCCGTTACCGTGGAGATGTGACAGTGCGGACGCCACCTCAGCCGCGTAAAATCGCGCGAGATCCTCTGGAAACCGCCCTTGTGTTCCGATATGGTAATAAAGGTTGCCTCCATTAACAAAATCAACCACCAAGTAAAAACCTTGTTGGGTTTTGTAAGAGCAGCTTAGATGAATGATGAAAGGGTGCTGGTTTTCAAGTTTTGATAAGATTTCATACTCTTCTTCAGCTCTGACGATTGCCGCCTTATTTTTCCGAGTGACTTTTATGGCGAAAATCTCCGACGTGTCGATTTTACGAACTTGATATACTCTCCCGAATCCGCCTACTCCGACAAGCTTCAAAACCTCAAAATCATCAAACTCCATTGCAACATCATTGTTATTAGTATTATTATTCAATGATAAATCATTAAGATCTTGAACTAAAACATGGGAGAATTCCGAACTACAAGTACCAAGTTCTTTGTCCAGGGGGATCGAAGTTTTCCGACGGAAACGAATGATGTTGAACATGATCTTGGAACGGCAGTGGCTACTTTGAGTCAAAACGTTTTTATTATACAATACAGCTGGCATCAGACTAATTAAGTTGTACATTTACTGATGTTTGGATCTAGCTAGATTCTGGAAATCTAAACTACAAAGGTACTTAAGTACTTGACTGCATATGTGAAGTCTATTTCCCTTTAGTTTTAGGTTTTCTAAATCATGTAATTAAGGGGCGCGTGTTTCCAGATCTTTTGTTATGTGTTTTCTAACTTTTTTTTTTCTTAAGCTAATAACAGTAGGTGGTAATCTGCAATACTATATATTTTACAGTCAAAGAGCTGAATCAAACTGTATTTTGCGACGACCAAAATGAGTCCTACTATCTAAATATCCTATTAAAACAATAGTCCAAGCTAAAAAAAAAGATGACGTGTCGCACTCTCATGCATTTTTTTCCCGCCGACCAAAAACTATGTCGTTTATAAAAAATGAAGAAAAAAAAGAAGAAGAAAGAAAGCTTCATTGATCAGAATCAAATTATCACTCAATTAATGTGCCTACTTGATATCATTCCATTTTGAAAGATAAAATACAAAATCATTCCTGCCTACTATTGAATGACATCTTTGACCAAATAAAATGTATTAAACACTAGGAATCATGGTATTAATGTGCATTGATCTTGATTATACTCCATGACCAAAAAAAAAAAAAAAGATGCTACATTTAAATTTCATAATCAACAATTAAAAAGGACCACCCTATTGTTAAGAAAAAAAAAAGGACTACCCTATATTATAATTCTTCCTGTATAACTCACCATATTCTATAAAATACTTCCAAATTTAAGAATATTACACTCATATCTTAGCCCCAATCTTCCTTCTCAAAAACTAGTATGAGTCAGTATATATACCTCTCTTTGGAACATTATTCACTACGACATCAACCAAATCAATCAATATATATATATGTATATATCCTATTAAAAGAGAAGTCCAAGAGAAGAAAAATGCTGCGTTGTCGCGTTATGATTAAAAGTTTTTCCTCTAAAACATCTTAAGTCGAAACTACTTTGTATTGCTTAAAAAGAATTTTAACACCGTATACATAAAAAAAGATTCACGTTATAAATGTATATAAAAATTAGATAATTTTATTGTCGGATAGAGAAATATAATTATGTATTGTATTCTAATTCAACACTTTATTTTCAAAAAAATTATGTATTGTATTCTAATTCAACTTTTTATTTTCAAAAAAAAAAACCCAACGGCTATGGTTAAAAAAATTGTTGAAACTTCACGTGTAAAATTACGAAAAAAATTCAAACAAAATATATTTTTTATATTCAAACTGAATCATTCGAATGCCTACCTTTTTTTTTCTTTTAAAGAAGTAACTTAAAATTTCACGGGTAAAATTATAAGAAAAATTCAAGTAAAATATTCTTTTTATATTTAAGCTCAAAGAAATTAATAATAACCACTTAATTTTTACATTGTCTTTTTTAACCTTATTTTTTACTATTTATTTATTCTTTGTATAATTTATTTTTCTTTAGATTATATTTCATAATTATCCCGTTAATTGTGTATGGTAATTTTTCAAAAACTAATAATTATTTTAATAATGAATGTTAATATATTCCGTGCAACTCACAGGAGAGAACCTAATTTTAATTATTTGTACTGAAATGTGAAAACCTCACGTCCAGAATGTAATTGCAAACGGCGGGCAGAGAAAACGATTCTCAATTCCTGTTAACGTCTTCTTCTTCCCTCAAGGCAAAATAGTCTCAATAGAATGGCCGCACTCTTCTTCCTTGTCAAGAGTCTCAATGACTTTATTAAACTTAGGGGGAATTTACCATAAGACTTCAACAACCTGGCCTCTCATCCGCCATGTACTAATTGAGATAGCAAAAACAGATTTAGCTAGCGTATAAAGATTATTCTTAAGGAGGGAGAACAAATATGACGGTTAGAATCAGCTCCTTTTGTGATTTCTTTATATTAACAATAAAAAGAACACTTATCATGGTGAATAGGACTTAATCCCACAAAAGTAGTAATTAATCCGTAGCAGTGAGGATTACTGAGTATGAAGAATTGCTTAGTGTGCAGGCTTTACTTGTAGAAATAGGAATTAGTGCAACTTAGGATACTGTAGATCACGAGGATGCAATTCGCTTAAGGCGGTGAAGACGTGAGTACCGTCAAATTCGCGCCCTCGCCGTCAAGTCTAGTTAAATCATTAATCTAAATTCTTTAATTTTTTTTAAAAAAAAGAAGAAGAAGAAACAAAAAGTATACGTGCATTATTATACTGTATAGATCATAAATCTAAACTTTCAAATTCTGATCAAGTCTCCCAAGCTTAGTCTAAGAATCATTGACAAATATTCTTTAAATAAAAAAAATTATAATATAATGATTAGCAAATCTAGTTTTGCCCAACTCCCCGTAATTGCCAACCTTGGGGCCAAATCCTAAATCCTATTGCAAAACCCATGTCTGCAAAATGAACTTCTTGACCATATTTTCATTTAAATTGGCAAGGAAAAAGTGCAGCGACGTGGCTTTTGTGTTATATGGCTCCATGAGCCACGAGTTCATTTGTCCTTCTATAATCATAGCTTCTGAAGCCCTAAAATTACTGAATAGAAGAAAAGAGAAGCCGAGAGATAGGGCACGGGATACCGAAGAATAAAAGAAGGGGAAATCGAAGAGTAGGCTCTGGCTTGCGTAATCGGATCAATTCTTCGTCACCTGTAAGTCTCTCACCTTAGTCTTATTATTGCAAACCAAGTAGAACTAGGACCTAGTGGTACTAAGTTTTATGATTAACGGGGATCTATTAAATCAAAGGTAGGAAAAGTTAGTTTAGAGATATGTTGTAATTATTTAGAAATGGGACCGTTAGGGATTGTTGTTTATAATCTATAGAAACATAATGGTTTTGTTCCAAATGCTTAGAATCAGCCATACCATCGGGTGATCAGGATCACTTATATTAAGCTAAGTACTAATCAATAATAATTTAAATTTGTGATTTTCAAGCTAGTCAAGTAAACTACAAATAACTAATGAACAAGCTTATATAGTTGGCACGGGTTTGTACTCAAACCTTAATTAAACTGGAAAGTTAATTGGAAACTCTTACTGGCATGTATCCAACATAGTTAAATGTAACTGATTTAGCCATATTGATGAACAGATTAATTTGAGGACTATTTTCTAAATTTGTATTTCCAGGTGAGTAATCTTACTATAAACTTAATTTTTATGTTAACCGGTTAGGGTAATATCATGAATACATGAATGCATGTCTACTATTTATTTTATTAATCCTTGACTAAGAACATTGCATATCATGGTTGGCCTGCCTGTGTATTTTGTCGCACCGGGTATTTGATTATTGTATGTGTTGCATATAAGCCTCTCTGTTCTCAAAATTATTCTTAGGCTTGGCTGGTACATCTTTATTGGTTGCCTCTTAAGATGCTAGACAACAAACCTAATATATATATATATATATATATATATATATATATATCTAGTTGTGTATTAAGTTGCTTACAGTGGTTCTTATGTCCAATGCCCATGCGTACTTTATTGCATATGCCTTTCTGTCTTTGAATGCCTTGTCTATATATTGTGTCTTGCCTGAAACTTATGCATGTATTGTTAGTAAATCCACATTGGTTTGAGTCGGAAATGGGCTTGATCACATAGCTAGACAACCTAAGAGGGTGTTGTCGGTATAAATCTCGAGATATACCCCTCTATCGTTCTAGTTCGGGCACTGGCTATCGATGTATACTTTTTTTCTTTTATGTCGTAATCTCGGATCATACTTCTAACTATTCTCACACGTATGCGCTCCTAATAAGTGCATTCTATGCTTTGATATGTTTATGGCTTCTGGTAGCCATTAATTATTATTTTAGTTATGATATCTGTTAGTTAATACTTGGCCTGAGTATGGTTTCTTTGTATTAATTGATCTTCTACAATAATTCTATGTCATAACTTGTCTGATTATGTGGCCACCTAGATTAATAGCATGCGGTGAGACCTCACTGAGCATGCGCTCACCAAATGCATATGTTTTTCTATTTCAGGAGATCGAAACGTTTTCTTTTTTTTTTTTTGGGAAAAACATCTTAGATAGTTTAACTTGTAAAGCGTGTAATTCGAAGTCCTTTAGAAGCCATGTAATTTTTATTTGAAATCTTCTTATATACCAATTACAGTTTAAAACTTAAAACACATTGATATCTTAATTTTATCGGTAGTAAGTATCGTACGATACGCAATACATATCGCACGATACGTATCAAAATCAAGAATTTTGATGCGTATCATGGTATGTATCGTAATCCTTTGTGTATCGGTCAATTACCGATATGTATCGTACAATACATACGATTCACGATATGATTGTGTATCGTACGATACAAAAACATAGGTAAAAAATAATTTTTTTCTTAAAAGAATTCAAATTGTTGTTTCATAATAACCATTACATTTCAAATTAAGAACGAATTCATTTATAATTTGTTTTAGATAGATTTTTTTTTTATTTATTTCTTTTAGAAACATACTCATTCTTAATTGACGATAAAATTACTTAATAAATTATTTACTTTTAAAAAATAAAATAATTAAAATATTATGTTATTCATAATATCCTTTAAATCAAGTACAACTAATAACATGTTAAATGAATGCAATACATATTTATATTAATTTTTTCACTATTAAATTTATGGCTATAATAATATGAAAAATAGTATTTATCACATATGTTTTACGACCATTAATATTCATTTAATAAATGAGTAGTTTGTGTAACTTTCAAATAATCTTTAATTCAACTTAATCAATTTATTGTTTATAACTGAAAAATAAAAAAAATATCAATTACATACGGAGTTTATGATATTTATTATTTATTCTATATATATATATTATATTAAAACTTATCTTACGATATGATACGCGTATCATAAATTTAGA